GCTTTGTCTATCGACAGGTTGCCCAGGGCTTGATACTCGTACATGGCAACCTTTAGGGATGCTAGGCGGGGTTGGCACAATTAGCTCGGGCTCGTTCTCAACTACAAAGCTGACTTGCTCCTAGACATAGTGAAAGCTGAGATGCGATTGTGTTTGCAGCAATGTCACCCCACACACCTTTATGGGCACAGTGGAACAGGTCCAGCTCAAAGAATTGAGGTTTGTGCAGCTCCGACTGAGGAATCAAACGAATCAGGGAAGGCTCCCGAATCCAAGGTACCTTCAGGTTCTCTCGCATTCTTGTCATGTTGTCGAAAGTAATGTTGTGCCACGCGTGGCCTTCTTGGCCTGCGTGGCAAAGATGGCAAATCCCAGGTCCAGCTTCCTTCGTGGGGGTATCCCTTTGGAAATTTCTTTGCAACTGTCCTATCTTCGTCAGTGCTGCAAGGTCACCCTTTAATCCAAGGCAAACCAAACGGACTTGGCGAGTCTGGCCGTTCGCACACTTCATAGGAATTGGCTCATCAAACAAAGCGCCCATCTCAGCAGCAAAATGTTCGATCAGTTGCAGCAATGGCTTGTTCTTCAAGAGTTTGCCCGAATAAGTGTGGCTTGTCATGACCGTATACAAGAACCTTGTGGTTAGGCTCTTTTTGATCATGTTAAGGTCATTACCTCGTGAACTGCCGTGTCCAAGAACAGGCTGGTACTGGATCACCATCAAACCATGACTTGTCCCCTCGTCTGCGTAGGCATAAACCGGTATGCACCATTTAAGCCGACCTTTGCGAGCGTGTTTCGAGAAGATTGGATGCTGTGGCTGGATCAGGCGCCACAGCTCCCAGAAATCTTCGTAGTCAGTCTCGGGGTGCCCACAAAACAAGAGATCACTCTTTCCACGTTCTGATAAAGACGATAGAAAATCTCTGATCCGGAAGATAGGATGCTGTGTTGCAGTTCCGACATCGACATAGCTGATGGGTATGGCAGCAGACAGCTTCATTTCTTCAAAAGCATCAGCAAGACGACATTCGTGACCGGTTTGAGACAAGGTAGCAGCCTTTCGGATGACTTCTGCACTTGGCAATGTCTCTGCCCCAGGCAAATCCTTAATCTCCTCCCAAATCGCCCCCATCAAGGAACAGGCGTGCTTCTCCGAAACCTCAGGTTCCGAATTGCCACAACATCGAAGAAAAAACCAAAAAACACACGAAGCAAGACCTGGCGTTGCTCATTGTCAAACCAGAACACTCCCTTCACGACCGATTGCACCAGTGCTGTAGCCACAGGACCATTGGTGCGGATGCGCTTCTTCGACCCGCCTGCGAAGGACATCAAGGCTTATGATATGGTTCGTGGGAGTTGTGAACACCACGTAATCCGGATAGCCAGTCTATTGCAAAACGTGTCAATCAGATGCGGTCGGACACTGTTTTTTCAGAGCTGAGGTAGTGACTGGTAGTGCCCCATGGTCTGAACTCTCAGTGCTAAGCATCGTTGGCAGTACCAACTTTCTGCTCAGCCTAATTTGGTACAACATCGCACCGGGCCGGTAAGATGCTACTCGAGAGATCCACGCACAGCACGGGCCCCGCCAAAGCGTATACATATGCTCACATCACAGCCGTAACTGATATATATAATACAACAAGTAGATCGACCCCGGACCGTTATCTCCCATGCCCGCAGCATAGATCCCACTCACCCCTGAAACCGCGCAGGACAATCACTTCGATGCCATCGCGGCTGCACCACAGGCTCGGTCGCAGCGACCCCGACACGTATATAGGATCCTGCGATGACAGACTTGCGGAGAAGCTCACAGTATAGGGCGGGGCTGGGCGGCTCCTGATCCATCACTTCTTTACCTTCTTGGGCGGGTTGCCACCCTTCCCGCCACCTTTGCGCTTGCTCGAGGCAGGCGCTGCCTTGGGAGCAGCCTTTGCGGCTACAGCCTTCGGAGAGNNGTTGAAGGCTAGGGGCTTCTTGACCTTAACATCTTCCATGATGGCTCGGCTGCACCTCAGTTAGGATTCGGTGTTGGGCAAGGAGATCAGGCACAAGACCCAATGGCAGGCAATACGTTTAGTCTGGGCACGAAATTTCGACCTGCTGCATGCACTTTTTCAGCTGCAGTGCCTTCCTGATCGGACACAAGCAACACTTTCTTAAACCATGTGTTGTTCGGGGCAATCAATTATATCAAGGGACTTGGGATCGAAATCTCCATGGCCATCGAAATGCGACTTCAAATCGGCTAGCTCGTCGTGGAGCTTCATGAGAGAGGCCTTGTGGGTGAGGAGCTTGTCGCTCGACCTTACCATAAGGAAGACAACGTGATCATAAATACGATCATTGAACCCTCAGAGGCATGCAACAGAAGGATTGGGAAGCCCAAGGTATGTTGCAGCATAGAGTCTGTTTGGCATCCGCCCCACCAAGCTGGATAAGCTTATCCGATGTGATCTGCATCCGGCCCTGTGCCTTCAAGAGGTTGGCCATGACAACCCGGACGTTCTCGACGTCCTGCAGATACAGGATGCATGGCACCCAGTCCGATATCCCACGGGCAAATTCTTTACATTGAATTTATACAGTAATTATGGGTGTGTCCTCCATAGCAGCTTCCTCAGCCGCCTTGTCGATCTTGCCACGATGAGATCTGCTGGCGCCATCATCATCTTCATCAGCATCATCCTCATCACCCGAGGCTGCACCACCGAACTCCA